TGTGAGGCGCCCAGAGTCACCCATTGGGGGAGATGGGCGGCATACAAATTTGAAAATAAATAAATAAAATAAATAAATTATTCATTGATGTGTGGCTTATAAACAACAAATATTTGCAATATTGTTTTCATCAAAGTATTCTTTGAAGAATGATTAGCACAAATCATCCTTCAAAGTCTTAATAATATAGACTGTATTGTCTATTATAGGTTATAATATAGGATAGCTAGCTCAAACAGTCACTCACATACACAAATAGATGGTAACAAAGAGCTCAGCTAATGCTTTTGATTTCAAAAAGCATGTATTATTATTTCCCTATATGTCTGCATACACATAGAAGGACAAGAAGAACTCATTTCCATTGCAAGGGGAAAAATAAGATATTATGAACACCCTCTAGCATGGACTGATATGCTAAAACTAAGACCTACTCTGGGGAAAAAGCCAACAGTTAGTTTGTAAGCCCTGTGATCCTCTGGATAGTAGGCTATCAATTTTTAAAAATAAAATAAACAGGAAATATCTCACTTCAAGGCTGATTGCAGAGCATTAAAAGGATAACAGCACATAGGCTACCCTCCAGAGTTGGGATAGATAATCTCCAGATGTTTTTGAATACAACTCCCATGTTGGCTTGAATTGATGGAAATTGAAATATAAAACATCTGGAGGGTACCATATCGCCTATCCTTGCTCTGCAGTCTCAGCTTTTCAATCTAAATTTAAATGGAATCAAATACGTCATGCTGTTTAGGCACAGTCCAAGAATACTATCCAGAAACAGCAAAAAAACCTCACAGACAACTAGCAATATTGATTTGCTTAACCACTGTTATTGAATAGAGTTGACTGAGATATATAATGCATTAAGTTGTAGCCATGTTTACAAACCACAGTAGCTTGGTTCACACAACGCAGGTACAACCACACCACACCCACAGTGACCTAATGCAGCAAGTGATAATGGGGAGACCAAGTGGAAGAAAAGAATAAATAAATTAAAAAATAAATTGAAGCTGTTCATTTGATTACATCTGACTTAAAAATCTTAAATAGTACTGTATGAACTCTAGATTCTCAGCTTGACTACCACAACCCATTGGGCATCTGAACAGATTTGGTGATCTTATGATTTTGGCTATTTTCAAATTTAAAATAGCAGATGCTATTTGGGAAGCCTCTAAGGTGCTTTGTTTCCAAAGGTCCTCTGTTTACACGGTAATCTGCAAAAGCTTTTGACGACATAGAGCTCTGTGTAAAAGAAAAGATTGAGAACCATTGCTTTTATCTAAATGAGGCAGCAAAATATATTATGGAAGGAAGGATGATGGCTGTAGATACAGGTGAAATACCAAAATCAAATGAGATAATGAGAAATCATCTTGGCAGTTAAGTGAACTTTAAAGTCAGTCTTGTGCTGAGTGTCAAGGCAAGGAGATGCAGTAGGTACAAGAAAAAAACACAGGAAAGGCAACAAGAATGCTTCTACGGTTTCAAACAAAGACTTGTATTTCAAGAACTCAGGATATGTCAGAACAAAAAAAACATGAACCTAATCCTGAGTAGAGGAAAGTATTTTAGGGAGGCGGTCTGCCATTCTTAAGCTGTTAGGTGGCTCTGAAGATTCTGAATTACCTCTGAAGAATTCTGAGGATTGTGAATTAAGACTTAAATTTATTCTAAGAGGTTAAATGAGAAAGTGTGGTTAGTAGTTAAATGTTGAACTAGGTTTAAGGAGGCCCAGATTCAAATCTCCACTTGACCATGAAGCTCACAGAGTGACAATAGGCTGACTTCTACGTCTCCGCTTAACCTATTTTACAGTGTTGTTACATTCAAATGCTACAGTGTTTTGAAAGATAACCTGCAGCCAAACTCTGTTACTAAAATAGAAGATGGAATGGAAATATAGGCTCATTCTGTTAATAGCTAATATCAACCCAATTCATTTCAATTGCAGAGAATGTAATTCCACAACTGGCAACCACAAGATTACTCATAATCTCTTGTCATGATCAATAATCAACTTACTGATCCTGCACAGTTCTTCATAATATTTTAAAGAGTTTTTCAATGCATATTAAATAATTGCTATTTAATATCATACCCACATGCATGTTAATGATACATTTTTAACATTCATACTTAATAATAAATCGACATCCGTCTGGCAAATAGAAAATATGCATAGCTTTCTAACAATTTAAATAAAATAAGTGGTGCAAAAGAGAAGATCTGAACTGCCTTTTCCCTTCTGATGTAATTTCACAAGAATGCATCTGCACTGTAACTTAGGCTGACAAATTAGCAGAAACAGGTCCAGAAACTTAGCTGATTCTAAATAGCTTGTTCAATCAGTTTTAATTACACTGTTTAATTGCAGTGTTTGAAGGAATATTTTCTTCTTTGGGGGGGGGGAAGGAAAAAGAAGAAAATAAGGGAGAACAGGAATGAAGATTTAAAGAATTGGTTGTAGCAAATGGCAAAATATTTAAATTGGTTGATGCCCACTACTTAGTTCAGAGGCAGTTTCAGATGCTAGTGAGCGCACAGCTCTGTCTTGTTCTTGATTACCTGCAGAGGAGTATCAAAATAATTTTCACAATGCATGGAAGAGGCTCAGAGGTGAAAGCTTACAGCTGTGAAAGGTGAAGTGTACTGTGTTTCAAGCGAGGTTAGTTCATTATGGCCAGAACTCAGTTAAATCTTGAAAGGTAACAAGCCAGTGCTTATCTGTTAATTTTGGGGGAAGTAGGTAAATCTTAATCTATTCTTCCAGCACCCAGAAGCATCACTCATTGTGCAGACTTGTTGCTTACAGCCTTTGCTAGGGATCTTTCAGGATGTCTTGGAATTTAAATTTCTCCTTTGGGTTTTTGGAACGTTGGGTGACCTGGTATTGCTTAGTTTTTCTTTTCAGATTTTGTACGCAGTTCTACGCATATACGTAGTTTACCACAGCTCTTTCAATTTGTTTTTGTTTGTTAATTTTCTTCCACTGTGTTTTTGATCTGCATTAACAAAAACCCTACAAAAAAGCAGTTTTGTTGTAAATGCACTTGTGGCTGCATTGTGATTGTTTTATATGCTGCTTTTCAGTATGCTAAAAAAATTGCTCTTTTTCTCTCACTGTCATCTCAGTGCACTCCAGTGTCAAGTATCTATAAGCTTTTGAAAGAATGGAGAGAGATAAATCCAGCAAGTAATAAATATATATGACCGAGAAAGGAATAAACTGAAGTCATAAAGCAAATTTTAATTCCAAGATTTTATAAATTCTAATAGTTAAACTATAATGAAGGTTAAATGGATACAAAACAAGCTTCTGTAACAAGAAGGAAGGGAAATGTGATCATTCCTGGACCTATGGCTCAGGTGCCAGATTTCCTTGTCTGTTTGGCCAGAGTTTCATGAAAGAAGTTTATTGTTACTTGTGGCATACTGTTTAAGGATAAAGATGCATATTGGAAGTGTCTGGTTCAAAAATCACTCCAGTGTATTTGAATATACAGTAAACTATAGCTTAGTATGAAGTTTGTACCTTATACCCTCAGCCTCTCATTTCCATTTTCAACTATAGTTTAGCTTTATAGCCGTACTATAAACTGTGGTTGAGAGCTAGTTTGGTGTAGCAGTTAAGGCACCCGGCTAGAAACTGGGAGATTGTGAGTTCTAGTTCCACCTTAGACCACAAAGCCAGCTGGGTGACCTTAGGCCAGTCAATCTTTCTCAGCCCTAGGAAGAAAGCAGTGGCAAACCACTTCCAAAAACCCTTGCCAAGAAAAATGCAGGGACTTGTTCAGGCAGTCACCAGGAGTCAAAAAAACTAACTTGAAGGTACCAAAAGAAAAAAGGAAAAGATGGTTAATTCTAGGAATGGTTTATTAGATGCATTTTATGTAACATGAGAATGGGTTTAACTTCTTCCCTGGCCCCCTCTACGTATGGCTACGAGAATATTCATAGAACTTAATACTTCCATGTTGATCTAACCACAGCTGTGTGTAACATTTGAATCCTAAGATGTAATTAATGTTAACTACAGTTATTGAAAGGAAGCTTACTTAAACTTTAGTTTGAAGATTGCTTTCACTAACCATAGATAAAATTAGCCACTCTGTATCCTGGCTTGGAGGTCTTGGAAAGCTGTAAGACATTAAATAGGGAAGTGAGACTTCTAAATTCAGTTGCAGCTTTCGCCATCTGTAGATTGAAAAAGATGCTGGAGCCGGATAAAGCTGGCAGAAGGATAAATATGGAAAAGATTTTACTTTATATGCCAGCTACCTAATCTGATCCTTGCAATTGGTACTGACCAAGAATCCTCATTGAAACATTCTAAAAAATAAAAATAAAATCCAACAACAGCAAATTAGAGGAAACCCAAAATACCACATTTATTTCTGTGGAGTTTGTTTGCTTTTACCTAGGTTTTTTTTAAGGCAGTGGTTCCCTTCCAGACATAGTTTATTCTTCTTTTCTTGAATATTGAGGACATGTCATTTGGAAGAAGTTTAATTAATGTTGGATTCTTTGTTATGTAGAACAGGAGTAGAGAACTTGTGACCCAGAGCCACATGCAGCCCTTAAACCCCCTTTTTGTAGCCTTAAATGCCTTTTCCAAAAAGGTAACATTGTGACAGCCATCTCTGCTGTGGAATATTGGCAGGCAATCATCTCTACTATGTCTGTCACTGTTTAACACTTGGAAAAGAATTATTTGCATACCCAATTTTGAGCTTATCCAGCTCTGCCCTGTGAATGATTTGCATTTCCTAGCCATGTGCCATTCATGACAATTCTAGCAAGTCAGCAGAGTAGGGCAGGAGAATTTGTAAACATTATTACCTTCAAACCCCATCAGGTCTAGCCACTACATCTGGTTCAACTACATGTAGAGGAACACAGAATCCCCTACCATAGCCACTTTTTATTGTAGTCCCCACTACTCGTCTTTCTAAGCCAGTCAGTTTCAGCTGAAAGAGGTAGCAATTAAGTATTTAAATCCCAGAACTGTAATAATATAAATTTTCTCTGATCTGATCAAGTCTATCTGCAGCAGGAGTTGGCAGTCTCTTCAGGCATGGACAATCTTTGTGCAATTCTGTACAATGGATCAGGCACATGTGCCTGACATTTTGGCTGTTTTAACTATCACTGAATGCTTTTATACTGCTCTATTAAATTGTAGTGTTTTATGTTCCTTTTTATTAGAAAGCAGACCTTAGATTTAATGAGAAATCTTACAGTTGTAACCTTTTTTCAGTCTTAAGTGATCCTATTTTAGACACCTGTGGCTGACATTTTGTGCTATATGTATTGTGGGGAAAGAACTGTAATTAATTGCATTACCCTGTCACTCCTCTTACTGTACAGTCTCTACTCAATGAGCTAGACCGAAGCATGGGGAGATATCGTGATGAAGTGAACCTCAAAACTGCCATCATGTCCTTTATTAATGCTGTACTAAATGCAGGTACTGGGGAGGTGAGTGTATGTGCTGACTTTCTTTTGCTCTCCATCATACTGAAAATTGCCAGCAGAATTTTGCATGTAATGAATTCTGCTCTAAGTTGTCTAAGCTATATTTTCGTCTCATTTCAGGAATTAAACCTTGAGGGTTTATTTTCTTTTTGTTTTCCTTTAGGACAACTTGGAATTCCGATTGCACCTACGATACGAATTTCTAATGCTGGGTATTCAACCTGTTATTGACAAGCTCAGAGGACATGAAAATGCAACATTGGACAGGTGAAGCTTGCCCAGAGGGAGAAATGTGGGGAGCAAGACTATGTTGTAATGATAAATACAGCATAGTCTTCTAACTTGTAATAGTATTATCCTTAACCTAATATAGGATAACTATCATGGCTGTTTAAACAAAATATATTCCAGATCAGATAATGTAGAAGGTGTGTTCTGGCACCTCACAATTGATACACAACGTAGCTGATGTTTTACCAATATATTGTGCTGCTAGCTGGGGAATTAGTATGGTTTGGATACCAACAGACTCTGTCCTGCTAAATATGGAGGCTTAATAAATGCATGGGATCCCAGTGAATATGTACACTGCATACATGGACATTAAATAATCTGAAGCTCCCTCTTAGAACCAACTATTGCAATGGGTTTTGAGCAGGGTTTCCTTTCAGTTGGCCTGGAAGCTGCAGTTAGTACAGAATACTGTAGTTAGACTATTGAAGGGAGCAACCTACTGTAAACATATTTCAGTGGTTCCAAAACTACTCAGCCTAGTTTAAAGTGCTTGCATAAAGATTGCACTGAGTCTAACTTAACTTAGGACCTGCAGAGCTTTTGGAGTGCCTTCTTACTTGCAAGCTAGCCTATTCCTTATGGTCTATTGCAGTGTCGACCAAACTTGGCCACTTTAAGATGAGTGGACTTCAACTCATGCTGGCTGGGGAATTCTGGGAGTTGAACTCCACTCATCTTAAAGTGGCCAAGTTTGGACAACACTGATCTATTAGGAAAGGCTGCTGTTTTGACAGCACATTTGCCAAAAATTTATAATGGAACCCAAGAAAGTGTGTTCTTAATGCAGATGCTTTGACTATGGAATTACTTACTGGTTCAGTTCTTGTTGGTATCGAGTCTTATAAACCTTTGGTTGCCAGCTGAAACTTTATTTGTTCACCCAGGCTTTTAATTGAATGAATGCTGCTGTGTTTATTGTTGTCCTGGTATAATATTTGATGTTTCAGTCATATTTTATATTCCTACATGATGTTTATTATAGTTATCATGCAAGCTGGAAAATGATTTTATAACAAAAATAAAAGGAACTATATGATTTAAATATATAGGGCCAATTGCCCTTTTTTCCTTTGAAGTCTGTGAAAATATGCGGGAGCTTGCGGGAGACAATATAGGTTGGAAAACAGTAATCTTTACTTCTTCCAACCGGTTTTTTTTAAAAATAAATAAATAAATAAAGAGCTGGAGACTTTAAAAAATGGGGCTGTGAAGAAATTTTGCAAATAATAAGACAGGAAGAATTTAGACCTCCCAACTAACATGTGGTGGTCTTCATTATAGTTCTCTCTGGGAATAAATAAACCTGCATGCTACATATTTAATGTTCCATGCAGTTGCTTATCTCTTGATGCCAACTGTTATTTCTTTTAGTTGTTTCTCAGTTGGTCCTATTCTGTGGTTCAAGCAACAGTTTCAGTTTTTCAAGACATCATCTGCTTTTTGCTTAAATCTAAATATGCAGATTGATCTGGTTTTGTTTTATATTATATTGTGAAAATCATATCTGAATGTAGACTCATCAGTCCATATTGAATTAAAGGCAGCATATCAAGTTTGGGAACTTACATTTCTGTTGAGTTCACGTCATTATGAATAAGATATAGATGATGAAGATGGTTTATTTTTCCTCTAGGCACTTAGATTTCTTCGAGATGGTTCGAAATGAAGACGACTTGGAACTTGCAAAGAGGTTTGAAATGGTGGGTGTTCCCCTAGAAAGATTTTTGCTGCTAAGAAATGTTGACTTGCCTTAACTGCTACTATAAATCCACCTGATTTTTCTGTGGGATAAGGACGTGGTTTTCAAATAGCTAAAGAAAAATGAGATGTACTTTTTCTGATATGTAGAAGAGAAAATATAAAAAAGAATGAAAAAGTGGTAAGTTAACTGGTCACTAAGTTAATTCAGACCATGTCAGCAGTCTGTCATTTAACTGGACTATTATGGCAGTGATGGCTTACGTAAAATGCCTCAATCCAATTGTTGTTCATTTCATGATGTTTCTTAGAAATGTTTATTGGTTGTCGGTAATTTGGTTGTCCGGATTGCATAACATGCTTTGCTCACTTTAGGAGTAAAGGCCACTGAATGGGCTCAGAGTCCTTTTCTGCTACAGTTTTCTTTGCCTCTATTTTATATCTGCCATTTTTATATTGTAAAGTTCTGCTTCTATCTTTGCTCTTGGGCTTTGACCACCTAAAATGGTTTTTTTGTGGGATAAAACATATTCCTACAATTTAGGTGTCTGTACATTTGCTGTTCCAATTTCACACAGCTTTGACTTGATACCCCCAAGTTCTGTCCATTGACATTTTAAGGGGCTTTAGATCTAGTGCTGGATTCAGCACCATGAATCTCAGGGTCCCAGTGGACAGCTCCTCACTCTTTGAAACAAGCACCTGCTCCAGCTTAGCCCTTTAGTAGTCCGCAGTGGAGACCTTTCTTGTTATTTGAAGCCTACAAGATCCAGTCAAGTAGTCAGTATATCAAAGCCACACTACACTGTACTACACTGGAATTGTTCACACAATTGCATTTACTGCTTCTTTCCTAAATAGGCTAGAACATGTCCTTGTTATTTTGGCTAAAGGAATTGAGTAAGGCAAAATAGTAAGAACTATATTCTCAAGCTTCTAGGAGTTTGGCTTCCCAAGCCATTCTAGATTCACAAGTCTCATTCTAGATAACAATGACTTAAGATAATGAGAAATATAAATCAGATCATGCATGAATGTATGTACACCCTACAAATATATGAATATGTTCCCATAAGTACTAGTTCCCATCTACTGTAGTGTTGTAGAAGCCACTTCTCCTTGGTGTCATCTGCCATGTACATTTAAGCACATTTTAATTATATGAATAGATAGACAGATAGACAGATGTAGAGGCAAACAGCATTCAGTGCCCTCTATAATGTGCAGTAAAATGTTAATACATCAAAACAGTAATTTTTTTTCAGAAGCCTACTTAACCTTACAGATTTCTTATTATATCCACAATAGATTGAATTCTTGGTATGTAACAGTCTGTTCTTTTTTAGTATGGATACTTTCCCAAAAATTTGTTCAATTTTTAATAGCAGAGGTAATGTATGCATGCTTAATATTAGAGATGTGAAAAATTTGTTAATCCAGGAGGTCTGTTTTACTCTGGAGTATAGTGAATCTATTTTGTCCACAACACTTCAAGCCACTTTTGGTTTGGAAAATATATTTCCAGTAATCACCAAACCTCTTGTGAAATGGCATGGTCCAGAGGAAAACGGAAAGTTCCATAATTTTCTGGGTCATTCCATTCCCAGATTGATGAATTTGCACATCCCTTCTTAATGTATATTATTGGCTCATTTTAAGTTAGGTAATTCTGACCTTAACAAAAATAATGATAAATTGTGATAGCTTGAAGTAATTACCATGTGATAAGGTACTTTCTTTCCTTCTGGCAATAATCTGGTAGATGTGAATGGATCCACCATTAAGTAGGCATTCCACTGTTCAACCAAACTGAGCAGCGTTTTAACTGGTATGGATCTTGTAATGGACAAACTCTCCAATAACTGAACTGAGTTTCAAAAGTGTTCCAAAACATTATTTTCTGTTTGAAAGATAGCATCTTATTCTCATATGCAGACATCACATGGTTCTGTGAATGCAAGGCACAGGTTTCAGTTTCCCATTTCTTGATGATTATAGATGTTGACAGTTTGTTTTCCACTAACTAATATACAGTCAGGTCCAGAAATATTGGGACATCGACACAATTCTAACATCTTTGGCTCTATACACCACCACAATGGATTTGGAAATACACCTATCTCCTGGAGAGTGTTCTTGATCTGGCCAACTGTTGTGAAGGGTGTTTTCTTCACCAGGGAAAGGATTCTTCGGTCATCCACCACAGTTGTTTTCCGTTGTCTCCCGGGTCTTTTGGTGTTGCTGAGCTCACCGGTGCGTTCCTTCTTTTTGAGAAAAATGAACTCTGGGCCTTTTAAAATGAACTCTGGGCCTTTTAAAATGAACTCTGGGCCTTTTAAAATGAACTCTGGGCCTTTTAAAATGAACTCTGGGCCTTTTAAAATGAACTCTGGGCCTTTTAAAATGAACTCTGGGCCTTTTAAAATGAACTCTGGGCCTTTTAAAATGAACTCTGGGCCTTTTAAAATGAACTCTGGGCCTTTTAAAATGAACTCTGGGCCTTTTAAAATGAACTCTGGGCCTTTTAAAATGAACTCTGGGCCTTTTAAAATGAACTCTGGGCCTTTTAAAATGAACTCTGGGCCTTTTAAAATGAACTCTGGGCCTTTTAAAATGAACTCTGGGCCTTTTAAAATGAACTCTGGGCCTTTTAATTCCAAATCCATTGTGGTGGTGTATAGAGCCAAAGATGTTAGAATTGTGTCGATGTCCCAATATTTCTGGACCTGACTGTAATTTCACCTACCTTTGTTCACCTTTTTACACTCTGAAGTTTAGGTGTTGTATGATTTGGCTATTTTGTCTAAATATGTCTCATATAATGCTTTTATTATTAATTTTTATTTGCCTTTCTTGTCATTCTCTTTATTCTGCTGTAGGTACATATTGACACAAAGAGCGCCTCGCAGATGTTTGAGTTGATCAAGAAGAGGTTGAAGCACACAGATGCTTACCCATATTTACTGTCTGTACTCCAGCACTGCTTACAAATGCCTTGTGAGTATATTATTTCTTCTCACAACTAAAGGAAAAATTCTGTGATATGTAAGAAGAAGATTAGCTGGAGTGTGGCTTGCTTTTTTTTTTTTCTTTCTTAAGCTAGCAGCTCTCCAGTTCCTTGTCATAAGAATATATTTCAGGTTTGTCTAAATCCTAAAATGAAGCTGATCTGCACAGATTCAAGAGATATTCAAATATAGCAGAGCTTCTCTGAAATGGCAAAAGCTGAATCTAAACCTGAAGCTTCATTAAATTTCTTTAATGATTTGGATATTAGTTAAGACACAAAAAAGCAGACACTGTATCTTCTTTAGCTGTCCCTGTAAGAGAGGGAGAAGAGTGGGAAAGCTAGGTGTAGTGGAGACTTAGGTCCGAAGAGAGCGGAGGGATATATTTTTAGCAAGGTTCCCCAATTATAGTGCTTTGGGGAAAGGAATGTAAATTAATATATTACAAAACTATTCTGGTATTAACTGCTGTGTATTAGTTTTCTTTCCCAAAAGCAGGTTTGGTAGAATCTGTGAGCCTTGGGAGAATTATATGTAATTTAAATAGAGATACATAAACAAGGGGAAAATCCACATTCCCATAGTCTGCTCAGAATTGTCCTCCAGTTTTTTATTATCATGCCATAAGAGCAACCAAAATCTTTAGACTTCCTTGGGTGAAGTTTGTCTTTTGTCTAAGTAGAAAAAATAATTGGTTTTTATAATATAATGGAACAATAAGCAGCATTTTCAGACCTGGAAAAATAGACCAACTTATTAAAATATGGGTGAAGAATATTCCTTCAATAAAATAATCTTGTCTTTTACATTTCCTTTTCCTGATCATTAGGGCTGGATGCAAGGCATTCTGATATCTCATTATTGCCAAAACAATCATAGTGGGTGCTTTGGTGTGCATTTTAGATAGAAAGACACTTAAGCTTACACAATGAAATGTATGCAAAATTAATCATAATAAAAGGTTTTATAATAAATCAACATATCCTATCTTTAGTATGCAGTAACTGTGCATACTGATGTAATATGATTCTCCCTTCTCAGGTCCTATGGATAGAACCCACAATCTCTTATTTCAGAGATCTAGAAGAAAATGTTTCAGATACAAGTTGATTAGTGGCTTGAAAGTAGATACTAGTACCTTCCAGCTGTATCCAAAAAAGGAAAGAAAGATATGACTGTTGCTCTTTTTCAGCATTGGAAAGTAATTTTGATCTTCTGGGAAGCTGATTGCCCATATACTCTGACCATACAGTATGAGTTACCTCTGAGACTCACCATTTCCATACAACTAAAAGGAAGGCACAAATATGAATAGTTCCATACAACTAAAAGGAAGGCTCACTACAGAGTTCTTGCCTGCAGACAGCTGGCTTTCCCACAGCATGTTTTCCTGTTTCCACTTAAGATCCCCCAAACATGAAGCAGCCACTTCTTGCTTAACAAGCAATAAAAGGAGAAAAGTTGGATGAAGTCCATCTGGAAATAAAGTCCATCTTGATTAAATTATTAGATTTTCTTTTTCTTTTTCTTTTTTAAGAAACAAGAAAGAACGTTTGTGTTCAGGGTCTGGGATACAGGTTCCACCTTTAATTAACACAGAATCATAATGAAAAACAAAATACTGGCCAGATGAACACTCTTGTTATACTATGGGAAATTCATAGAAAATACTTCATTTTATTGGCACCTCATGGGAACTGATAAGTAAAAGGTTCTCAGGCCCTAATTGGAAAATCAAATTAGCGATTTCTCTGAAGCATATTGTACAAATTTGGGACTATTAAACTATTTAATAATCTAGCAACGACCACATATAATTTGTTTTCATTAAAAGCTAGCCATTGATTTCTGTAGGATCATATTTAACTGAAGGTGCTAAGAGCAAACATATGGTTACTGACCTTTTGCAGCTCCCTTCAAAGCTTGGGCTTTCATATTGAACACAAATGCAGAGTGGGGCTGTTTATTCTGGGTCTACTAGCTCCACTCTTTTACCTCCCATGTTTGTGTGTCTGAAGGCTGAACAGTTACATATTTAGCCGATTGTGTTAGATGCCTTCATATTGGGAGTTCTGCATGCTAGGGGTATTTTATCCTGTAGTATGTACACTCACCCAAAGCACAGCTGTATGGATAGAATCCATGGTGGCCCAGCTGTAGGAATAGTGATATTGGGCTTAGCACCTGTAGTAAAAGTTGAATTTGCAGATGTTGTAAAAAAGGGCTACTTAGCTGTTTCCTTCTGTGCTGCTTTTCCTCTATGGAGTAATCCTTCCATCTAGCTGTCCACTGCTACGTCAGAAGTAAGGAATCTGGTGCTAGATCTCACGCTTTGGACTTCAGCTATCAGCCTAAGCTAGGATAATCAACGGCATGAGATGATGAATTTCAAAACATCTACAAGGAATCAAAACATCTTCCCTAACTTAATATAAATCTCTCCAGATTGTTTTCAATCTGAAATTGAAAATGCATAATGATATTGGCAAGCAGAGGCTGCAAGTGTAACAGCATCTCTGTGGTTTAATTAACAATTTCTCTGTAGTTTAATTAACAATTAATTAACAGTTAAACCACAAAGATGCCAAAGCACACCTAACTAAACTGCTCACAAAAATAGTTGGGGGTGGGTGGGAGATATGCTAGCCTTGCCAGAGTTCAGGTGAAGGTAGATTGGATGGATATCAAAAATTGCTTTAAGGCACAGTGAAAATGGCAACTTGAAGGTGTTACTTGATCTTATTTGGTCACTGAGGGACTATTCCAAATATTCAAGCCTGTGATCCATAATCCTGGGGCTAAGAAGAGAAGTGTGCAATAGTTTATTTTTAATTTTAAAAAGGACTTACACAAGAGGGAATGGTTAGCAGGCTTTGTGTTTCATGTCTGAGATTCTTTCCCTGTTGTTTCCCTTCTTTCAACTTTTCAGTTAAATTCCTTGGGTATGTAAAAGCCCACTTTCTGTAAAGTGGGACTTATTGGCCACATTGATACTCATGCTTTGGGATAACTTGAATATCTTTCTGTAAAATTTCCTTTGGAAGTCATAAAAAAAGGCATAGCAGGTAAAAAGTAGAAAGTCTTTTATTTATATTTAAGTATTATTTTTTATTTTACATTTCCTCTGGGAAAATCAAGTTTTCCAGTCATTTATCTTCAGAACAATCCTATGAGATAAGGTTAAGGTGCAAAAGAATGACTGATCCAAAGTCACTTGATGAGTTTATAATCAAGTGAGGACAAATCCTAGGTTTCTCTCAAGTCCAGTTCCAAATCTTGAACCACACTGTTGATTGTGATGGTCACATCACAGTGATAGGTTAAAAAAAAAACCCAAAAATTAAGAAAGTGGAAGAATTTAGGATTTATCTATACAGATAGTCCTCATTTAGCAACTGCCTCATTTAGCAACTGCCTCATTTAGCAACCATTTGCAGTTACAACAGTGAGGAAAATGTAACTTTGCAACCAATCCTCGCATTTACGACTTTTGCAGGTCTGTAAAGCAAAGGAATGCTGACGTAAGATCATAAGCACAGTTCCTGTTTCACTTACTGACCACTTCACTTAATGACCAAGTTGCTAGTCCCAATTGTGGTTGCTAAACAAGGACTACCTGTAAATATATTTTCAGATGTGTTCATTCATAATCAAAGAAATTGCTTTCAGTATCCTGTGACTAGAGCCCTAATTTTTCTTACTGGTTGTAATTGCAGATAAAAGAAATGGAGGAACTTTTCATCAGTGGCAACTTTTAGACAGGATACTGCAGCAAATTGTTCTTCAGGATGAACGAGGGGATGATCCAGATGTATCTCCTTTGGAAAACTTTAATGTCAAGAACATCATTAAGATGTAAGAAGTATGAAAACTGGCACTAGTTCTTATTAATGCAATATGTTTAAGATAAGGACCCTTTCGTATATAATGTTTCATCTATATAGAGATAAAATTAGTCAAAACAATGTCTACATTTTGTCCAGTAAAATTTGCATTATCAGTAGCATTTTGCAACAGAAGGTTAATTTCACCTAAAAGGCTAACAGCAGTAACAAGAATCTTATTAGAAAGCTTATTATGTTATTAGACATGTTCCTATTCTAGCAATATTCGTATTTAAATTCTTTGGAATGGATTTCGGGTGATCTGCCTTTATCTCCATTCAGGTTGGTAAATGAAAATGAAGTGAAACAATGGCGAGATCAAGCAGAGAAATTCCGGAAAGGTATGTGGTCATTTCAGAGCTGAAGAAATGGAATTTAGGCATGTATCTTCAGGAAGTGTAGAAAAAGACAACGCTCAGGGAACGTGTAGTCTTCTGTTTCCAATTTATGGATGGTAAAGAGCAGCTGATTGTCTTTGAGCATTAGTATGCTCTTCCTATTTCAAGTGCCTCTCTCATTTAAAATAAACTTGCTGATTTTCAGTCTATAAAGGTTTTTTTATATATCTATATTAATCCGCCATCCATAATTTTAATGAAACTCTTTTCTCCTCCTGCCACTTTATAGTTTAGGTTCTCTGGATTTATTTTGAGATCATTTAGTTTTCCCTCTACTGTTTGTAGAACATGTTGAACTGATGAGCAGGCTAGAGAAGAAAGAAAGGGAATGTGACATAAAGACCCAAGAGAAAGATGAAATGATGAAGACACTGAATAAAATGAAGGACAAGCTGCAAAGAGAATCTCTGGAGCTTCGCCAAACTCGGGATCAAATGAGTGACCTCATCACTCAGCTGAATGAATTTTCGGTAGGATATGGGCCTTTTTCTTCTCTTTCCGTAGTCCCTAAACAGAAATATAGGGCTTGAAGTTTTCTGTGGAGAAGGCAAAGTATATGGAATCAATGCTTATACAGCCAGTGTTTTCAGTTCATTCTTTTTCATTGCTTCCATTTTATTTCATTCTCTAGGGATGAGTGCATCATAGTATATCATAATGTTTTAATTAGTAGAAAGTGTCTACAATATTTTCAGTCTATTGGCTGAAAGATGATTATACTTATCTCCTCCTTATCTCCAGACTATTTTAGTGGCAAGTAAAGACAAAAGTAGTGATACTAAAATACACTGAAGTTCATTATGGCAGTCACATTTTCCACATGGCATAATATTATATTATATTTGTTTTTATTTATTCAATTTTAATGCTGTCTGGCTCCAACTGACTCTGGGTGGCTTATAAAATAAAGAACAATAGAAAAAACAATAAGTAAATAGAAAAATTAATCCAAAAAGAATTGGAAGATAGTTACAATATTCCAATCCAGAGAACATATCAGTCCAGACAACATCTCAACCCAGGGGTTCCAATCCACCCTGCTCCAATGGCTTGGAGAACAGCCAGGTTTTCAAGGCTTTCCAGAATGTTTTAATGAAACTGTTTTCATTAAAAGAGTGGGAGTCATCCAGATCTCGGGGGGACCTCATTCCAGAGGGCAAGTGCCACTACAGAGAAGGTGCACTATCTAAGTCTTGAACAATGTTACTGTGAGGGGACCTGGAGTATGCTCACTTGGTCAGATTGTACCAGATGAGCAGAAACCATGGGAGATAAGCGCTTGCTCAGATAACTGGACCCTATACCATTTATGCTTCCATTATCGCTCCACTGCCAAAGAAGTTCCCTATCAACAACCTCAGCGACTACAGACCAGTGGCACTCCTATCATCATGAAGTGCTTTGAAAAGGTGATAACCAGCACCTTGAATCGCATCCAGCAGCACACTGGCAAACCAGTGCAGTTTGCAAAGCAGAGTTGTCACACGAATATGTTGTGGCAAGATGTAATGGTATGTGGGAATGACGTTGAGTGGTGAGGGGAAGAGATGCTGCCTAGGGAATGATCAGATAAAAGGGGGAGGAGCCTGCACTGAATAACGGGCACAGAAAGAAACTCAGAAAGGATCCACCCTAACTTATCAGCCTGTAAAAGGAGATGGCAGGAGATCTGTACTTTCAGACTTGCAAGATTCTGTTAATGTAGCCTTACAATAAATAGAATTAGCTCATCTTGTTGTATTTCCTGTCTGGTCTACTTGGGAGGCTGACACAAACCCCTCACTGTTCATGCCACTGTATTCTGGAATGGTTGGAGCTTCTGAGTGGTCTTTAAGGGTAGCCCCATGTAGAGTACATTGCAATAGTCAAGCCATGAGGTGACAAGGACATGAGTGGCTGTCTGGAGGGCTGCCCAATCCAGGGGGCAGCACAACTGACACAACAGATGGAGCTGTGGAAAGGCCCTCTGAGCCACAGCTGCTACCTGATTTTCAAGCAGGAGCTTTGAGTCCAAGAAATGCACCCCCCCAGGTCATGCACCATTCCTGAATGAGAAAATGCAACCCCATCCAAGAGTAAAGATGGAAAATCCCCAGAAAATCCCATCAGAGACAGCCACTTGGTCCTTTTAGGATTGAGCTTGAGTTGCTTTCTACTCATCCAGGCCTGCACAGCCTCCAGGCACTGGGACAGGCTTTGACAGCCTCACTTGGCTGGTCTGGGGTTGAAAGATATACTGTAATTAAGTATCATCAGCATACTGATAATACCAGACTCCAAACCAGTGGATGTCCTCATCCGATGATATAATGTTGATGTGAAACAAAAGGGGAGAGAGCGTCAAGCCCTGTGGCACCCCATAAAGGAGGGGTCAAGAGAGCAACCTCTCCCCCTAACACCAATTGAAATCTGTGAAGGAAGGAAGAGAACCAGCATAATACAGTCCCCCCAATTCCCAGCCCCTGGAGTCAGTCTAGAAGGATACTGTCAGCAGTATCAATTCACCACCCCAATCCCAGCATTGCCGCAGGTCATCAACAAGCATGACCAAGGCTGTCTCTGTACTGAATTCTGGTCTGAACCCCAAATGGAGCAGGTCTAAATAATCCATTTCTTCGAACATCCTCTGAAGCTGCAGCCTGACCACCTTCTCAACAACCTTCCCTAAACAGTGAAGGTTGAAGACAGAACAATAGTCATCTAAAATAGTTGGGTCCAGGGAAAGTCTTTAGAGAAGGGTGTGGACCATAGCTTCATTCAAGGCTGCTGACACCACTACATGGACTCTGGGGTGTTACCTCCCTGAACACCTTAATGAGCCAGTAAGGACGTGTGTCCAGCAAACAGGTGGCTGAACTAACAGTGCAGAAAAGCCTGAGGACTTCCTCAAGTATGGGGTTTTTACCAAGATCTTTAATCGGTCTTTATCCCAGTCCACTATTCCATCCTGTCTGAAGGCTTCCATTATCGTTCCGCTGCCAAAGAAGTTCCCTATCAACAACCTCAGCGACTACAGACCAGTGGCACTCACTTCTATCATCATGAAGTGCTTTAAAAAATTGGTTTGTAGGCACATCATTTCCTGCCTTCCATATACATTTGATAAACATCAGTTTGCATATAGAACTAACAGATCCCCAGAGGACGCTATAGCCATCACTCTCCACACTGCTCTGACGAATCTGGAACAGCAGGGTACCTATGTGAGGATGCTTTTTGTAGACTTTAGTTCTGCATTCAACACAATGCTTCCACATAGACTAGTGTCTAAACTTATGGATCTTGGGCTTTCATATTCAATCTGTTCTTGGATTTTGGACTTCCTATCTGGCCACTCCCAGAGAGTTAGATTAGGCAACTATATCTCCTCAGCTCTTACTCTCAACACTGGCTCACCACAGGGCTGCGTGTTGAGTCCCTTACTTTACACCAGGGGTCCTCAAACTTTTTAAACGGGGCCAGTTCACAGACCCTCAGAATGTTGGGGGGCCGGACTATAGTTTGAAAAAAACATGAGAGGAGGAGAGCCACCGGACCCGGCATACCTGTCATGTAGAATACTCTGGCTCTGCGATCTCCCTCCTCGTGCATCACCTGCAGCTCCCGACACAGCCCCGACAGTTTCTGACAGACAGCAGCGGTGGCCAATCAGGCGGGCGGGCTGGATAAATGACTCTGGCGGGCCGTATCCAGCCTGTGGGCTGTAGTTTGAGAACCTCTGCTTTACACTCTTTACACATATGACTGCATCCCCACTCACTTCAGCAATATTATTATTAAATTTGCAGATGATACAACAGTGGTGGGGTTTATCTCCGAGGGGGATGAGTCTGCCTACCGGGATGAGGTGGACTGGCTGCTTTCGTGGTGCGGAGACAATAATTTGGCCCTTAATATCAGTAAGACCAAGGAGCTTATAATGGACTATAGAAGGAATAGATTAGATGTCCAGACCCTGGTTATCAATGGAGACCAAGTGGAGCGGGTGGCCAGTTTTAAGTTTCTGGGTGTTAC